AAAACAGGCAGATCTCGAACATCTATAAACAAAGGTGTTGATGGCAGCAGCACAGCTGATTTTCTCTTCAGGATGGAGTCACAGCCAAACTGGAACAGAGGAGGACCAAAATACACTGATATTTATATTTATAGATAGTTAGAGAGATGCCTTTTAGTGCACTACATATATAGGGCCCAAAAACATGAATGTATAAAAATAACAAATAAGAGCCAATTACGATGCTAAAATCTATATATTATGCATCCCTAGAAGTACAATTTCAATTCCATCCATCCAGAATAATATGGATATACTTCATTTTAAATATAGCATAGCAGATTTTTCTTGTAATCTTTCTGGTAAACTTGGAGATATATTTTATTGCATGTTGCATATCCCAGTAAATCTGTTTCACCATTAAATCTGCAGCTCTCCCTACTTCTCTCTGTGCTCTGTTTAAAAAGATTTATAAACCTCTTTACTAGTATAATGAGGCCAGAAACAAAATTTCAAGGTATGTAGAAGCTCTGCAGTCTGATTTGATCGGATCAGTAAGAAAACGTGTTAATTTCAACCTGTAACTGTGATTTATGGTCCTCTGACAAGCCAAGATTTTTTTTTAACTTGTAAAGAAGAACAAAACATTTAAACTATATTTTCTCAAGCTTCTTGCATTATAATACTAACTTGTATAAACTTACAATCTGTTGCCATTTTTGTTAAATAGGCTCCATATGTTTAACAAACAGATTTTTCGGTGGCATCTCTATTTTTTAACCATCTCCTAACTTTTACATAAGCATCTATCGAAGTAGATAGATGTGTCTCTCCTCCTCCACGTATCCCCTCTGTATGCAGTGAAATGAGACCGGAAGTCTCAAAGCAACATATTTGATGATGTCACACCGAGAGGTGAGTCATGCTCCCTTCTGCTGCTGGAGATGCTGGTTTCATTTTCCAGTAGGACTTTGCACCTCCGCACACTTTGGTTCCAAACGCTGGTTCAATGACCAGGATGTTACTCTGCGCCGCTAACCAGCAAACTAACTTGACCTGAACCCAGTTGAGAATGTGTAGGGCTTTATCAGATGACCTGAAAGAAACCAGAACTTCCATTACAGCTCAGCAGAACATCAGGCTGATCATCTCCACGCCTTTTACTCAAATTAACCTTTAAAGCACTGATTTTGTCCGAATTTTGCAAACTGTTTTATCCCCTAATCCTCTGGTTCTCAAGCTGAGGTCCAAGTACCTAGTCTTTAGAGGTTTATTGTATTAATTATTTACTGATCACAGACCGAGTGATCAGTAAATAACGATTTACAGCAACCGAATGGTGAGCTGTTTTTGAAAGCTTGATGTTTGTTTTACTTCAAATTTCTCAAACATAAGACTTCCAAGAACTCCCACAATGAACTGATAACAGAGAACCAGGAGTGAGTATAGGTGTCTGTTTTCAGTTTAGATCTGCACTTAAGAATATAATGCATCTGTTTTATGGCATTTAACTAATCATATTAAGTTACTTTAAAGTCGAAGGGAAATCATATTTAAAGGTGGAATCATTCTGGCTTAAACATGTATATAAATGTATTCTTTATCAATTTAAATTTTTTTTTTTTTTAATCCTGTCGTAAAATCCATGTTTTTTTTTCGTTATTTTATACAGGCCAGTTAGTTATACGTCAGTCTGTACATCTAAATTCGGCCAATCATATATCAACGGTCATCTG